GGTCTGTCCTCCCAGTAGCTTGTCTTCCCAGGAGCACTCCGCCCCAGCTGTGAGGAGTGAATTGGGCGCAGACTGTAGTTGTGGAGAAGTGGGTCTCCTGACAGGATGCATAAAGAACAGGTTAGTCTATGGACTGTTGGGTTTGTCTCAGCCTGTAGGCGCTAGGGGGAGAGTGAAAGCACCTTGGGCCTGTGTGAATTCCAAGCCCACCCCTTTCCAGGAGCACCTGCCCACTTTTCAACAGCCTGTGCTTCTCGGGCCGCAGAATTGGGGTTCTCTGCTAAGAAGGACCTCTGCTGGGCCTGCTTTTACGGTCCCCGGTTAGCCATCCCCTAATTCTACAGGCGATGGTCAGTCCGTTGTTTTCTGTCAGGAAGGGAAAAAGTAGAGGGGTAGTTAGCTCCTTTAAGAAAAACCAACCAAACGAAAACATAAAGAAATGAAAGAAAAGCCAGCCAAACAAAAAGCCCAAGGAGTGATGAGGGTTCAGAGCACTCCGATTGAAAAGGTTAGCATTTGAGTGAAAAGACAACAGGCGTGGGCGAAGGAGGAGGAGGAGGAGGCCCATGTAAAGAGAGGCATGTGTCTCTTTTTGAACCCAGACATCCAATTTCAGATCAGATTGAATCTATTGAGCAAAGACCTTGAGGTCTCCTCCTGTAGCACTTGGTGGCCAAGAAGACTCCCCAAGATGTCCTGGTTGACTTTGGCTGTTTTGCTTGTTTTTTTGTTTGTTTTGTGTTGTGTTTTGTACGTATCCAGATTTATTCCCTCTCATGGCTTTCTCCTCTACTTAAGTATAAGGATGGATTTATAGTTTTATTGCCTCTGTGCTTTGTTTCTTTTTTAAATCATTTTATTGGGGGCTCTCACAGCTCTTAGAACAATGCATACATTGTGTCAAGCATATTCCTACATATGTTGCCATCATCCTTTTCAAAATATTTTTTTTCTACTTGAGCTATTGGTATCAGCTTCTCATTTTTTCCCCTCCCTCCCTCGCCCTCCCGCCCTCAATTTTGCCTGGTTTTCAATCTGTCCTAATTGCAAGGTTGGGCCCTTTCTCACAGTTTTGTGTCAGTTCTCAAGGTAGGCCATTAACAGCTAGCTGGTTTATTTTCTGGTTTTGTGCAAGCAACACCTATCATAGTATGATGTAGATTGGTTAATTTTCTCCTTCTAATTTACCAGTGACTGGCTCATAACCAGACAGCCACAAGTAGTGCATAATAATGGTCTTTCTGTCGCTGAGGACAGGGTGCTTGTTGGAGAGTGCCACAGACACAAGCTTACTCTGTAGTCACAAAGGACTCTGGAAACAATATCTTCTTGATTAGAAGCAGACACGTGATCATTACTTTGTTTATGGCTTTGGCAAACGGTAACTTACTAATAAGATCCATGGCACAGTAAACTTGAGAATGCTTGCAGCTGGTTCTGGGGGTTTTCTACGCCGTCTGGCTACTAATTGATATCCCAAAGGGTAGTGTACTTAGACTGATGATGTCATTGGACTTTAGCCCCAGACAAAGGGATGGGCAGTTGATAAAATGAAAATAGAAGACAACGTGATCAATCCATGGATTTGTCAAGTTTTAATAATTAAAAAAAAAAAAACACGTAGTGGCAATGTAAGAGCAATCTCTGCTTACTAGGTTTTAAAAATGATAATATGTAATTCTGGGAAAGCTTCGGAAAAATCAAGCTTTGATACTACTACGAATAGCATCAAGTGGATCACCTGTCTGGAGAGCAGCGTGGCAACATGGATGAAGATACTTGGATAGTTAATACCTTTTCAGGGGTTGAGGGGAATCTGGAGTGATTGCTAATGAGTCTGGATTTCTTCTTGGAGGGGTGAAACACCCTGCAATTGGATAGTGACGATGATCATACAACTGTCAAAACACTAAAAATGGTTGAATTAAGAATTTTCAAGGGTACGTTGTATGCTATGGGAATTAGATCACAACAAAACTGTGAGAAAGTTAATACCCTTTGACCCTGTAATTCCACTAAAGTACTTACTCATCAGAGGGATCAAAGATTGGTGTTCAGTGATAGATATTTCAGCTTTGCTGTATTACATCAAGAATTAGAGACATCAGTGGCAGGGAGCGGGGAAAATGAGATGATACCAAGGGCACAAGTAGAAAGAAGATGTTTTCAGAGTGATGAGGGCAACAATTGTACAAATGTGCTTGACACAATAGATGGATGGATGGATTGTGATAAGAGTTGTATGAGCCCCCGGTAAAATGATTTAAAGAAAAAAAGAATTAAAAACATCTTAAAAGTCTATTTAAGTAACAGTTTAAAATATTAATCATATGCAAGTGGGAACGTGAACATTTTCTTGGAAAAGTCCCATTGTCTTTTGATTCCATTTTCCATGGTGCAACTGCTTAAGAATTTTTTGGATGCTTTTCTGGTGTATGTATTATGTGGAGAAGGAACTTTCTAAATCATATACCTCCATGGTGCTTATATCTATGAGGGAGCTTTAGAAAGTTTGTAGGAAAATGGAATTAAAAGATAATGGAATAGTTCCATTTTTTTAAAGCCCTCTTGTATGGATGTATGGCTCATGATAAGAGTTGTACGAGCCCCCAATAAAATGATTTTTTTCAAAAAGTAAGTGAAGGTTCACAGGGCAGATTATCAGTTTTACATTCAACAATTCATACACCTTTTGTTTCAACTCACACATGGCTATTCCCTCAATGCACTGTCACTTGGAGTAGTCGTGTGTTGAGCTGTTAGCTGTAAGGTCAACAGTTCAAAACCACCAGCTGTTCCTTGGGGAAGCTTTGTACTCCTGTGAAGAGTTATCAGTCTTGGAAACCCAGAGGGCAGTTCTCCCCTATCTTGCAGGGTCACTGTGAGGCAGGACAGCTCCAATGGCCCTGAGAGTTTGACCGTGACTCAATCACTTCTTCCCTGTTCCCTCTTTCTGTTCCTTCTCCGTTCTTACCCCTCTGAACTTTGTCCTTGGATAAATGATTCTCTTTGCAGCTTAAATGATTGAATTATTCCAACAGGCGAGTTCATTTCCAGACGTGAAGGGTGACTAAGGGCCATAGTTTGGGGTTCCCACCAGTCTCTGTCTGACCAATAAGCCTGATCTCTCTTATGCGTTTGAATTTTGTTCTACATTTTTGTCCATTTTTTTTCTTTTTTTTAAACAGTTCTATTAACACCTAATTTACATCGCATACACTTCAATAGTTCAATCGTTCAGTCATATCAAGGAGAATTTTACAATCATCACCATATCAATTTTAGAACACCCCCCATAGTTAAATTACCTTTAAAATGAGTTGTGCATGCACTCACAGTCAGTTCTGGTACTCCCTACTCCCTCCCATCTTCATTTCCCACTCCTGAAATCCCCCTTCTCTCCCTATCACCCACTTCCCCCCTGCATCCTCTGTCAACCCCTGCATCAGTCAGTGGCACTATGCATCCATTCCTGCAGGTCACTCTTTTACATGCTTCTCCCACTCTATCCGGGTCCTTCTAATGTGATCCTTTTCAGAGCAGTCGGTAGTGTAGCTGGGCACCGGCTATTTGTTCTGGACTCGGTTATGGAGTTTGCCTGGTCCATTAGTTCATTGGATTGTTTCCATATGTCTTTGTCTTTTTGTTTTTGTTT